CAGAAACTCTCCTAATACTTGTGGTCGGATCTCTATCAAACTCACGCAGAATCATACGAGTAAATCTGCGCTGACGAACATTTATGTTTTGATCCCTTTGGAGATTTCCAAAACCATTTTCAATTATTTGGCGATGCACTCTTACAAATATTGAGCGAGTTGAATGTCGTCGTCGTTTGGAAATCTTCGTGCGTATTCTCTGGCTGCTTCTGCTGCGTTTCCATTTACAAAGCCATATACAAAATGAATATCCGCTAACTCTTGATTGGAGAATAAAAATGGCATTTTTATAAAACTTTAAAAAAAGGAGGTAAAAGAAACTAAATTTCGTGCATTCACAATTGCAAAAAAACGTTTCAGGTTTCAACAGACAACAAAACTAACTGTCAACTAATTGACGTTTAACCTTATTCTGCTATCAATTTCAAAAATATTTGGAGGCCCAGCCTACTTCTAAAAATTATCGAGATACTGACTTTTTAACGTTATTTTATCATAAATAATTAAAAATGCATCGAACCTTAAAAATCGAAATATCCCAAAAACGGCTATTTATAACGAAAATTCACAAGAGAGCTTTTTTATGTTGAAAAGTACGAAGAATTAGTTTTTTTATTCAAAAAGCAAAAAATTGCAATACGAAAATTTTTTCGGTCATTTTAATACACTACAGGTACAGTAGAGAGCGCCCTCTAGCGGCTACAGTAAAACTATGCACATGGTTCGTTTTGTCGTACCAAAAAACCCTTGTATATCAATTTTCACTGTCATACATCAAATATTGTTCGAAATATAAAAAAAAAACTACTTAGAAAGTAAATTTAAACACCCTGTATTTCGGAAGCCACGCATTTTTCGACCCATGTTTATATAGACTTGATGCATTAATTTTAAAAGTTCTATCGAAAATTAAAGTTATGCAACAATAAACTGAAACACCCTGTATATAATATAACTGATTTTATTCTCAGAGGGCTTAACTTGTGCTGAATTTAATCCTTTAAGAACTGATGACGGCAGGATGTGCAGAGTCGACCTACTTGACGCAATTTTTCTCTTCTCGGAAGTTTATTAAATTATCTTATTCTCAGCCCATCGAGAATTGCCTTTGTTTTATACGAGATGAAGTTTCGGAAGCTCCTATCTACATCTAATACAGCTTAGGCCTAACGTATGACAATGACCTTTACAGAGAACGTTTGTGTGTGTTGTCGTATTTGAGTAGCGGCTAGCGAATTTTTGCTTTCATTTGTCACCTAGCGCACGTAGATAAATTACAGATTCAATGGAATCTTGTTAAAGTAACGTCACTCTAATATGGAAATGAATTCACACGATTTCAAGAACTGCGTCCCTGCCTTCTCACTTCATCGTGAATGTGAAATTAGACAATTAACTGTAGAGACTTCGCAGAGCGTCTATCTCGAAATATCTTCATTCGGAAGCCTTGCTCTTGCTGAAAAGTAACTAAATAACCACAGTTCTATCACATACTAGAAAATCAAGCAAATTGAACATATGCTGGAAATAGTTCATAATTACAAAAAAAAAAAAAAATAAATTCAGTACACTGACTCGGTACTTGTCGATATAAATGCACTTTACTTACTGCAAAAACAAGATCCATTTTTCCACCTGGTGGGTTAAGTACACCTTCTCACAAATATTCCTCCAAGCCTATATCTCAATAAGGTTTGGATTGGTCAAAAATGTATGGTCACAAAATATGTTTATCTTTAAAAAAGATTCAGATCGCGTGACCTCGTTTTTATATACTTATGTCAGTCTGTCTATCTGCTAATCCAAGGCCAACGACTATGCCGACTAGGACGAAAAACTTTTAAGTTTGTGAGTTGTGGTACCAGTGGTGGCGCAGAAACTTCTTTTTTACGTTTCAGAAGCCAGCAGGTCAGTTACAAAGTGATTTGTGCTATTCCCCCAACGAAGAGGATGCAACTTCGTATAACGACAGTACTTACAACAGAACGCCGTCTCGGATCTCAACTACGGGCAATTTGGAAAAAGAAATAGAACAGTCTTATTGGTGGTGCGCAGTAGGCAGTAGTAGTAGGTTCCAACAGAAAGAGGGAAATATAAAGCTACGAACTGACATTTCTTTAGTGTCATTATTATTAAGCGCGAGTTGGAAAGGGTGCAAAGCAAATGAGAGGCGCGCCGCTGTCGTCTATTTTGGGCCGCTACAAACTCCAGTAGTGAATAATGAACATATGCACACTGGTTGTGGAAAGATGTTCTCTAGTTCTTACTACATAACATTTGTCGAGACAGTTCGGTGGGATTTACGACGCTTTTCTCCACTAACAAAAATAAACTCACGGCGATGAGGATTATATATGAGGAGTTCATGATGGTGTTGAAACTGTTGTGGTTTATATGGGGGACTGATCAATACTATCTCATACTATGTATCCATGCAAAGCTTTGTTAGTATCAAGAGTAACCACCCTGTAAGGCTTTACAACCTAGCTTACGAGTATATATCCTAAGACACTTGTGCTGATGAGTATGCAATAGACTATTCTTCTTATCAGAAATCGGGGCTGTATTGATGATAAAACTAGTTTGGCTGACACGTGGAGACATTCCCCCTCGGAGGTATTGTCTTTATATTCCCCTGTGTGAGAACTAACTGTGCTTTGACAACTAGAGTAAGTACTACTTTTTATATTTCAATAGAGTCTTTATTTGTCAATATCCTGGTGTTTGGTTATCAGCAGTCCTTGTAGCGTACAAGCAAGTTTGTTCAGTAACTCACCCCAAGTCACAATCATGACAATACAACCCTCTAGCTCACCGTTTCAACCTCGTGTTATTAACTCAAGCTCTTTTACGTTGTATGAAATTCAGGCGAGAACCCAATATTTTCAGCGAGATTAGAAGAATTGGAATTTAAAAAAAGGTAGACAGAAAAGCATGCCATCGCTTCCGGTTTAATTCAAATCTATGACCTCTTGAATTCTAAACGGACGCTCTGACCTTCTAGTTACGGTGACTTTTAAGGAAGTCTATCAGAAGAACCAGGTATGATACCTTCTCTTGCTGTGCAAATCTACTCTCGATAGTTTTAGTGTGAGCAGTTCGAATTATGATTCGAATCCACTATCAGTGACTGATACATATCTAAAGCTTGGTTATCCATAAATCGTAGTTTTTTAAAGGTTTACCATAGCATTAACACGTGAAAAACTTGTTCAAAATTCAAAAACGCTTTTTCTTTACACTATATTTTTTTCACTCGCACCGTATCTCAATTATTCTCTTGCATCATCGGAGTACATTATGATAAAACATCAATAGACTGTGTCATAATGATAATAAATAATTAATATGCTTCCTTCTAAGAGTTGTAGAGCTTGATAACCTACATATTGTATACTAAGAAGGAAACTGGCCAGCGACATTACACATACAATGTTTTCTGCAAATGTGACGATGAATATGGAATTTGTGTGGAAACCTCTAGAGTTAGAATATGTTTCTGTCTCTAGTGACTATCAGGCCTGGAAAATTACTCTTTGAGGTGCATTTTTTTTGAAGGAGCGGACATAGGGTTTTTCCAGAATATCGATATGTGTCATACTATTCTATTCTCAATAATATTTTATTCAAGTAAATGAGGTTTGTTTTTATCACAGGTGCAATTTTTATAAAAGAGAGTAGATATCATATTTTTCACCTCAAAATCTGCCACATTATCGAATGATTACTTAAGGGGATGACAAATTGGAAAAATAACAATTTCTCGCCACCATAAGCTTACCGTAAAATCCCATAATTGCCTCATGTAATATTTATCGACAAAATGTGGTTATCTCTCCAAAATTTGTTCCCCCACATATTAAAAACCAGCCTCTTCTTCTACGGTCTCACCCCAATATCATCAAAGGTTCGTATACGTGGCAGTATCCCCTCTAGCGTAGAGGGATAAGCAGTGGCAGAGCAGTCACGGGACACTTATTTAGTTGGCTGAACTGAATATATTTGCGTTCCATATCTGTAACCATCACCAACCGCAGACAGCGGTGTTTCGTGCTCTTCAGCAACCCATTATAGCATAGGTCTGGTTTTGGAGACATACAACCGGAACACGTGGGGGTATGGTGTTTTGAATAACTCAAAATGCTGTGTGCAAGTAGGTGAGAAACTTGTAGGTGGGGTTTCTCACCTACGTGCACAACACTTATGTAGTTTCCTTGTGACAACATTTTTGACCAGAGAAACAATAATTAAGTGATAAAGTCTTACTTTACATGCCTACTGGTGTATTGGAAGTGTTGTAATAGGGAAAAATTTCGAAAACGAGATTTTATTTTTTTGTATGTTGATGTTGATGTGGGTACCGCGAAAAACCGTGTCACTCATTTCTGTCGGTCTGTCTATCCGCTAATCCTTGGCTCGTCCATAACTTGGAAAGTACAGCTCGGATTTGGATGAACTTTCTACACAATGTTTTTTAAGTTGTGCATATGGAAATAAAACAACACGGTAGGTAGCTTTAAATGACTTGATTGTTTTTCTAAGTATTCTCCACGAAGACTAATACACATCTGCATGCACACAAACCAGTTTTCGAAGCACTTATTCCACTAGTTTGCTGGCAGATTCTCCACGAAGGTTAATACACATCTGCATGCGCTCAAACCAGTTTTCGAAGCACTTATTCCACTAGTTTGCTGACAGATCCAAAACGGCATTTTTGAATGCGTCAACCGCTTCTTCTGGTGACTGGAACCTTTGACCACGCAGTCTGTTTTTAATTTTCGGGAAAGTAAAGAAATCGATAGGACTTAGATCGGGACTAGATGGAGGATGGTCCAATAATTCCACGTTTTGTTCCGTTAAATACTGCATGTTTTTTGAGTTGTGTGCGAGCTTGCATTGTCTTGGTGGAGGATGATTCTTCTTTCGGGGTTGATTTTTCGAAGCTCGGTGATAATTTTTTTTGGTGCACCCACCCTGGGATCGTCGCTAAGACTCACCCGTTCACGTTTGAATCCTCCATACTAACGGGAAATTGTCAACTGATGTTGCGCTTCGTTGCCGATAGACAGTAACTCAGCAAGGCATTTTTGTTGCGATAATTGTCTCTGAAAGTTGTAATAAATTATGGCGCGAAAATGTTCTCGGTTGAGTTCCAGTTTTCTAATGACTTGGTGACACTTAAAAATTCACTGTAGTAAGAACACTGCACGTATTGTTGTGAAACTTTGAATTTAAGTTAACTAAAGAGTGCGGTAAAGATTTAGTACTGACGTTCGATCCGCGCGGCTTACTATGTTTCTATATGCAAAACTATCGTATTCCAAGGATGAAAACGATTGGTAGTTCTTGGAAATTGGTTCAGAGGCGGCTGAGAAAAATGTAAATCCTGACTATTTTAGAAAAATTTTGTAGGAGTAAAGATTTGGGGGGAAAGGGTTGTAGGAGGTGGAGGAACGTGTAACGCGATTTATTGCTGTTAGTATATATAATAAACTTCCAGATCTGGTGATTCTACGCACCTATTAGACATATTTATAACAGATAAGATTTCTCTTTACATTTGCCCTTAAAGCAGAACGATATAGAAATATTTTCGCCACGCGTCCCTGTGTCTGTCAACTCTACGCACCTATTTATAATGTTTTCCATTTCCATTCATTTTCTATAAATTTGTCCTTAAAATTTAGCCTGATAGCGAAATATTTTCAACACACGCGTCCTACGCAACGCAACTAACGGGGAGTGGCTGGCGAGTGGTGAGGTTAGTCATAGCGACGCTGTCAGATGGTCAGTACTGTCGGTGGAGCAGGAGAAAGATTCTAGGCTGCAACGTTGTCAAATTGGAGTTGACTATGAGCCTGTTTGACAGATTTAATGAATTAGATTTTTTTGTTGTACCTACATGTTTCTAGTTTACTTTCCTTTCAGAGGACCTATTCGATGCCATTTTTCTACCAAAAGCATTGTCATTGTTCTTTAAATCTTTTTCTGATGCGTTTGATATAATTCACGATTTATTGTTACAATCAACTAAGGCTCGTTTCATTCCACATTTGTATGAAAAGTTCCACACCTGTAGCATATCAGCTTCCACGCTACTGAGCAAGTACGGTGTAAAATGGAGAGGGCTACCATATCCCATAAACCGGGAATATCTGCGATGTAATACACTTAACCACCGAGACCAGATGACAAAGTGTGGGGAGGCAGATGATGATGTCGGCTGGTTTATTTTTAGATTATATTTCGCCCCGTCGTCATGCTGACATTTCATTACAACTGTAGTATCTATTTTTAGGGGAAGCATCTAGTAGTTTTACGATTGCGTTCAGTCTAGCTTTACTCGACATGTCTTCTTACAAAGATGAAATTAGAAGCTCTTAAATTTTATACAGATGCTCTTGACTGCATAAAATACCCCTTAAGGCTGACAAAGTTTCACATGTTCCGCTAAACCAAAAGTGTTTTATTTACTAAAATGCAATTTCAGAGGAAACGTTTTTTGTCCTATATGCTTGGAAAGGAATATGTTTTAATCAAAATTATTCCAACGACTTCAGAAAGGGTATCGAGTAATTTGCACATAAGACATTATGTTCGGCAGGAAATTGTCAACTGAAAACATGTATAACTAATGAACCAAATAGACCAAGTCAGTTAAATAGACCCATACAATCAGTTATTTCCAATGAGAACCTTCTTGGAGATAGCCAAATACCCTTATCTAAAAAAATTATGGATATGATGTTGTTTAGCTTTACGTTAAACTGATCTGATCTACTGCAAATGACCGTTAAGGACTATAAGAAATTCGTGGTTGGAAAGAACCGAATTCGTCCTCAGTTCCCATGCATTTGAGAAGCATTGGCAACGTTGCTATCGAAATGACGATGAGTTAGCCCTATAGCACCGAAACCCAGCCGCCGAGTCACTAGTTCAGTGGGAGCGGCGATACCTATACGTTTATCTTCCATTTTTTGACTTGGGTATCGGAAGAAATTCTACTCAGTCAACAATTACCAGCCCCCAATTTATAACCCCCAAAAAATGTTCCAAAATCAGAAAAAGTCTCTCCGATGTCAAAATCATTTTTTGCTCGTAACTTTTTCTCTCTTAACATAGTAGTAACCCTATGTTAATTTCAATAACATTCGAATTGTAATTTCCAAGTTAAAGACAAACACAGTCGAGCAAGTTCGCAAGCACAAAAGGCCGCGGCTCACACTGTAATCAAAATTAATTCGTTAACTTAGAACAACCAAAATTGGAGCATTTGGACAAAATCTTTAGAAAAAATCGAATATTTTTAGACCATATCAAAATCTGTGAAGTGATTCTAACAATGCCTAAACGCTGCCTATCCTAAAAGATTCTCTTCTTCTCCTTTGCTCTCGTCCTTCCTTCTCTCCTTTCCTTACCTTTTTTTCCTTAAAATTGTCTGGTTTCTGGGTTATCCGACCTGACAGACTTACAAGCTGACACTGTGACTCAAGAGCTGAGGTCCCACGGACCGCTATGACAACCAACGATGACTTGAAGTTAAAGACAAGCCAAGGATTAGCGGAGAGACAGACAGACTGACGGAACATGAGTCACATTGCTTTATGTGACGTACATGTCATATAACAACCAGAAAGCATATCTCATTTTTGACATTTTTCTCACCTCATCGCTAGTGGTGTGGAAAGTAAAATAGTATTTTGTTCTTAAACATTTAAAAATTTCATTTATAACACTTGTTGAGTGAACATCGTGGATATAGAATACTAATCTTGCAGTAAAGCGAAACAAATGATGAAGTCGAACAGGTCAAACAATCCATCCGGCCCTGTGAAGATTGTTTGCTATATTGGCTAATTGTTGCCAAAGATATTATGTCTATAGATAGTCTCCGATTCGCTGAGTAAATTTTTCTTTTATTGTAGTGCAGCAGAAACGACATAAAATGTTTTCAGCGAATTTGTGCTCCGGAATACCAACTGCATCGAAATATTCTTCTTTATATCGCGAAGATACAAAAAAGGGTTATCGAAACCAGACATGTCAAAAAAATTCATGACACAAAAATGGCGTCAAGTAGGTTGGCTCTACTTTTCCCACGTAACGCAATCATCAGTTCATAAGGGATTATGCTCTGAGAAAAAATTAGTTTCGAACATTCAAGTCAGGCCGATATAATTAGTCCATAGACATTATTTCCCTGCCCCACTGGTGATACCATCAATCTGGCAATGTCGTCCCTCACCCATACTTGACCGCACAACGTGTCAGATGCGGTAGTAATGACAGCCCATTAAATGAAATCGGCACGCCGACCGGGGTACTCAGAGAGCAGAAGCAGAGACGCATATTGAAAACATTTCTCATCATTCTGTACGGGCATGATGAGATATGTCTAATAGGTAGGGATTACCGCCGTCGGGAGTATATAAATAAACTAACATCAAAGATTTGGGATATAGCCACCACTACCCTCAATGTTTAACCGCATCTGAACTTTTTTTGAAAATGGCAGGTGCCTATGAAACGCCAAAAGATAAAGTTTGATACGGTAGTAACCGTGAAAATGCCATCCAAGACCGAGTGGTACTTTCCAAGTAGCCAGAGATTTGCGGGCATGTCATAACATCCAAAAAACAATATCTCATTTTCGGTACTTCAAACGCCAGTGGCGTAGGAAGTAACAAGAGCAGATACCTTGAAAAAATAGTTTCCTGAAAGGTAGTGAAAGTACTTATTGTTTTACTTTTATCACTATACATTATTCAGTTAATTAAAGATTATGGAAAATGAAACAAGGCCTCCACGGTATCATTAGAAGCGATTCCAGAAAGCGGCTTTCATAAACCTTTCCGTGTAGTTGCAAGCCAATATGCGAAACACATCTGGCTCATTAACTATTCCCTTTTAACCCCCATTTTCCATCTCCTCCCCCTTCCCCCCACTCCGTCACCTCGTTTCTCGGGAACCGGCGGGCGTCCATTAGTGCTAACCAAATCACGACGCTGCCTGCCGAGATGAAAATCTAGAGAGTCGTTTTTGCTTAGGGAAGCTGCTGTTGCCGACGGTGCCGATCTAAAGCGGTTACAGGGTGATCCAGCCTGGTATAGCATCAAATGTACTGATACAGCCGTCGACGGCACCTCGCCATCAAATTACGTCGTTCCTGAATGTATGTATATTAGGTCTATCGGAAAGTTCTGTCCATTTTGACATCAACAGGTACGCGCATCTTTATTTGCAAATGAACTATACTGAAAACGATTCGTGTTAAAATTGAGCGATAAGCGATGGTTATACTTCGCTTCATGGGGTCCATACACGTAGTAGTAGTTTGTATGAATTTCAATAAAAAAGGAATGCCACGGAAGCGTCTAGAAATTGTATAGTGAAGTATAGTTTTCATCAGAATGTGTGAAGGATGCTTCGAAAAACTTCAGGGTGAATGAATTTGAACATTCCGGTTAGCACGTACGAAGGCCAAGATCATATTAAAGTAAAAACCTGTTTTTTTTTAAGAACATCAGGATCGTGAAAAGACTCGGTTCAGCTGAACAAACTGGGACCATATTTGAAAATTAGGATCAGCATGAGAGAATTCGAGATGAGTCAGGTGAGGAGAGTTTGACATAACATGAAATGCACATTTCTGCTTGTACGGAGTAAAATTGACCCTTTGGTTTGGTTAGTGACGAATAATGGATAGTATGACACAAAAAAGCATATTGTGAACTGGAAAACTTTGCTTCTGGATTTTACAAGAGGGGCGCAATGTTTTGTGAGGTTGTCTAGGTTACCTTTGACCATAGAAACGTCATGATTTATTTACATTTGTAAACTACTGAAGTTGGAAATTTACAAAATGGATACGTACAGCGTGGAACAACGTGTGCAGATAATTCACCTTTATTCTGAAAATGGACGTCCAAGTAAAAATGTTTCTCGTAAATTACCTGAGTTTTATCAGCCGCATAATCGTCCAGATGAGTCAACAATATCGAGAATAGTGAGGAAATTTGAAGAGACTGGTTAAGTTTTAGACATAAAAACACC